AAGTTCACTAGTCCGATTCGTCAGTAACTCTCTTACTATTGAGTATACGTACTCAATAGGCCTTGCTTCTATCTCTACTATTATTGTTCTTATGTTACCTTTGGTTGTCCTTGATCCTGTTCGGATCATCGTATCGTTGCATCATCAGGCTACCCGGTCGGTAGGCCTCAGGCGAGTATTGGATATAGTCCAGGGACTATATCACCCCGTTCCCAAAGTAGTTGACTAGCAGAGAACAGCAGAGACGGATCCCAGGGTGTGACAAGTAGCTGACTATTGCAGCTTAGTCTTTAATATTTTAGTTAACTAACCATAGTCCAGTAATTGCCAAAGATGAGATTAAGTAAGTCCTACTAGAACCTTATTAGGACCTAGCTGATATTTTCTCTAAATATAATTCTAATACTTTACCTCCCCACCACAGGGAATTTAACTATAAAGTTAAACTAGAATAGGAGAATGCAGTTAGCTATAGGCCCCTATATAAGATAAATATAGAAGAATTAGAAGCAGTAAGGGAATATATACTAGATAACCTCTATAAGGGATTTATTATACCTAGTAATACTCCCTTTACTTCTCCCATTCTTATGGTGGAAAAGCTAGGTAGAGGATTATATTTCTATATTAACTACTATAAACTAAATACTATAATGTATAAGGACTATTACCCTCTCCCCTTAATTAATAAGATTTTAGAGTGTATCTCTAAAGTAAAGATCTTTACTAAGCTAGACATCCACCAGGGTTTTTATTAGATTTGCATGGACCTAGCCTTAGAGGACCTCACTATATTCTACTCATAATACAGCAGCTTTAAATATAAGGTAATGCCCTTCAGACTTACTAATAGACTAGCTATATTCTAGTACTTTATAAATAGCATTTTTATAGATTACCTGGATTAATATCTGACCACATTCATTGACAACCTACTAATCTATTCTAATAATGAGTTGGACCACTAGCTCTATATCTATGCTATTCTATAGTGCTTATAGGAGCATGGCCTATAAGCCTTAATAAAGAAATATAAATTCTATATAATAAAGATATAGTATCTTAGCTTTATTATCTTAATAGACAGCATCTAGGTTGACCTAGAAAAGGTTATTATAGTATAGAAGTGGAAGACTCCCACCACTGTGAGAGGGGTCTAGTTATTTCTAGATTTCTATAACTTCTATTAGAGGTTTATATAGGAGTATAGTTACATCACTAAACCCCTAGTTGTATTAACAAGGAAGGATGTTCCCTTTATATAGAATAATAACTGTAAGAAGACATTCTGCTATTTAAAGGTTGCCCTTATAGAAGCTCTGCTTCTCACCTATTATGACCTGTCCTTACCTATAAAGCTGGAGATAGATGCCTCTGATAGCATGGTTACTAGTGTGCTCTCTTAGTAGTGGGGGAGAGAGTGGCATCCTATTATCTACTATTCTAAAACTATAAATCTAGCAGAGTGTAACTACAGCATCTATAACTAAGAATTATTAGCTATTATATATGCTTTAGAAGAATAGCGAGCTGAGCTGCAGGGCCTATAAAGAGCTGAACTATTTAAGATATTTATAGACTACTAAGTATTATAATATTTTATATAGAAATAGTAACTAAACCCCTAATAGGCCTAATAGAATAAGTTCCTATCTAGCTTTTACTTCCTTATTACTTTCTAGCCAGGGAAGCTTAACATGCTAGCTAATACACTCTCTAGGCTATAAGACCTAGAAGGGACTAATAATTACTAAATTTAGTTAATGCTTAAGCTAAACCACCTTAACCCCTAAATCTTAGCAGCTGTTACCCCAGCCTAATATTAATAGTAGATTAGGTATCTAAAGTAAATTAACTATATAACAGCCTCTAGCCTGAGTAAGAGCTCGCATGGGCAGGTGGTGACTAATAGGAACTCTAAGATAGACTTCTACTCTTCTAAGGACGCCTAGTGGTGCCTAATAAAGGTGACCTATATACTCACCTACTAGATGAAATCCACCACCCACCATCTTCCGCACACCTAGGCAAGGCTAAGATGAAGAGACTTATCTGCGCTTATTACTATTAGACTTCCTAGAGATGGGATGTAGACTACTATATAGATAATTACCTTATCTGCTATTAAATAAAGATACATAGAGACCCTCCACTGGGTCTACTACAGCCCCTTCTAATCCCTAACTAATCTTAGTAATACATTACTATAGATTTCCATTCATTCCTGCACTCTAAGACAGGTTTTAACACTGTGTTTGTTATGGTGGACTAACTAGGGAAGAGAGCCTTTACTATCCCTTATTATAAGATAACTACTACTCATGACATGGCGCGTCTCTTTATTACTTATATTTATGCATAGACTGGCTTACCAGAAATAATTATCTTAGACAGGGGAGGTCAGTTCATCTTAGATTTCTAGGATGAACTGTGTAAGGTCTTGTAGATCTGCCTTAAGCTATTATTAGGACATCATCTGCAGACTAACAGTTAAATAGAAGTTATGAACTAGTGGATTACATAGTAATTATAACTATTTATTAACTATTACTAGGATGACTAGGACTAGTGGCTGTCTATACTAAATTTCACTACTATGGTGCTTCTAAGTAAATCTACTAGGGTATCACCCTTCTTTGTTAAGAGAGGCTTTGAACTATGCACATTCTTTAACTAGTTAGCAGCTACTGGGCTGTCAGACCTTAATATTAATTATAAGCAAGTGCAGTAGATGGCTAGATATATAGAGGAGATCTGGTTATATACTTATAAAGGTATAGAAGCTGCTTAATATTAATAGAAGTAATAGGCTGATAAGTATTACTATGCTATTAACTTTAATATTAATAATTATATCTTTATTACCATATTAGATTAGAAGCTTAACTGTCCTAGTTAGAAGCTTGCTAACCAGCTTGCTGGACCATACTGAATTATAAAGTAAGAGGGGAATGCCTTCTAACTAGATCTCCTAGATTCTATAAAAGTCCACCCTGTCTTCGCGCCTGAGAAGCTTTATAAAGCCCTATCTACACCTCCTCTGCCTAGCTAGCTCCAGGACCCAGCTCCCCCGCTAGAAGTTAATAGTAAAGATAAATAGGAGGTTAATGAGATACTAGCATCCTAACTCTACTATTACAAGCTCTAGTACTAGGTAAGATGGCTTAGTCATAATATTAATCTTGCCTAGTATCTAGCCTGAAATTTTAGGAACTCCCTAATGTTGCTCTATGACTTCCACACCTGATATCTAGCCATGCTAGGCCTGCTGATGCGCCTACCAGAATAGCTATGAGCAGCTGAAGACAATGTATTCCTTGATGATCACCCTGATGATGATAAACCCCAGATGAGGGCATCCGGAACCTAAAGGGGGGGTAATATAATAATCTATCACCATATTCCCTGCGGACCTCCTTGCATGGAGCTTTCTGCCTATCTTAACTACTTACCTCTCCAGGGCTGTTTAGATTATTTGCACTATTCCACCCTCTGTTTACATATCTCCCCACTATGTACATACTTCTTCCCCTCTTCTCTATGCTTAGTTTTTTATCGAAATACTACCATACCATTGGAATATGAGCAGTGCCATCATAAAGTATACTGTATTTCTACTAGCTATCCGTGCGCTGCTGGCTCCCTGTTCTTCGACTTGCTGAACCAAGATACCATTCCTCAGCTGACTACTCAAGCAACCTTCCATAACTTCTTCGTGCAGAGCTGCACATCCATGCCGATATTGCTCAGCCCGGAGTCCTTGACCTGCACTCTGTCCTTCTTGGACTTCTTATGTATATAGGGATTATGCTGAGTGCTCTATGACGGGTTAAAAGTCCTGTAAATCCGCCTGCAGCAGGGTGCAAGGTGCAAAGCGTCATCCAGGTCATCTAGCAGTTCGAAAATATAGATGAGAGTTTCAATAGGGAGGTGGAGTAGATGACATATTATTGCTCTGACAGGGTGCTACAGAAGGTGCAGCGGCGTCAAGTGTTGGTTACAAAAGGATGGAAACTGAGATGCGCAACAGCAAAAGCCATGAGTGCTTTTACAGCCCGCATCCCCACCTTCAGTCAAAATTATGTTCTGAAAACTGATAGTCTGGTCTACAATGTAGGCCGATGTTTGGGTGTGTGTAGCCATATTACAATAATCGTAGCTCCGTTGGAAGTCTTAGCGATCGGTAACAGTGCATAATGGGACCAGCTGCTAAGCTACATGCGGAATTTATATCAGTAGTTAGAGTGCCATTGAAAGAGGACACGTCAGCATGACAGGGGTTGGGCGGGGTCACTGGGCGTGCAGTATTGAGGTTCAGGTGAGCTTCAGGTGAACGGGGGCGACGGGGATGAAGAGGTTGAAGAGGTTGAAGATAAAGCAGTAAGCATAACAAAGCAAAAAAAAACTGGATAAACAAAAAACATACAACAGCCGGGATTCGCTGGTGGTCACCCACCCAACTACTAACCGGCCGGCGTGTGGCTTAAGTACGGCTGAGCGGACGGGAAGCCCTGTTTTCCACACCCTATGGTCGTATGTACCAGGCTCATCGTCACTCTAGAATAAGTACGAAAGAATTGAAGTCGTATGACTAATTGGCTCCATTTAATTTCATGTTTCATCTCTGAGTAAAGCCAGCGTGGAAAAAGAGTGCCAGAGTAGATAATCATCTTGCAGACGCGTTAAACATGTTAGGTAGCCTCTGAATATGAAATCTGTTGGTCTTGCGCGCGGCCACAGCAGTCCTAGCATTGCGGTCGAACCACCCTATGGTTACTGAGCTAAGCTATATATTTCTCCCTCCGTCCTGAATGCGGGAAAGAGGGAGGAATGGAACTCATGATAACAACCACAAGACTAATATTATTGGTAGCCATATCTTATCCTCTTCTCCTCTGTGTAGTAAATGTAACTAAAAGCATAAGAAAAGCTTATATTTCATGAGCTACTCAGATGTTCCCCAGACCTTATCTCATACATAGTTCATGATTGGCTTTCAACTACTGACATCCTTCTAAATCCAAAAAAGGTTGACTGTTAAGTTGTGACCTTGCGATAGGGGCTACATGGTATTGGTGAAGCAGTAGTACTACATAGGTGTTCATCGCAAATACAAATTACATACGAGATAATACAATGAGAATAGATTGGAATAGGAGGGCATTGATTCCATACTTTGATTCAGGCCTTTGTATTCACACTAGAGTACAGGGAAAACCCTATGGGCGAAAACCTGTACTAAGGCCCGACAGGTACACCTTACCTTATCAATGTGATGAATGATGCCTGCAGCACCATAAAGTCGGTCTTCCGTACTGCTAATGATGAGCCTGAGTCTGGTTGGATGGTCGAGGAACCTATTACCCGTATTAGTGATGAGTGGTGCCAGAGTTACTTTTACCTTCCTTCTGCTTGAGTTTGGTGGCGGTCTCTTGGCACTGTATCGGTGTCAGCATGTTTCACGTTTATATAAGATGAAATCAACAAGTATAGCATACATTCTGGGATGGCATATTAGTTGACCACTGGTGCGTAATCGGATTTGCTGTACAGCCCGATAGAATGTACTCACAACCTAGAGGAGTACTATTATTAGTGGAATACACAATCGCTATAGATAGACGGAGAGAAGTGACTCACAATCTGTGGATTCGAGGATAGACTATGATTAACCCAAGAACCCGTAATTGTAGGGTGATAAACATACACACTGTGATATTCAACCATGGCGTTGTCAGTTTACTGAGATTTCAGATAAACAGTGGCTCATGGATGAATCTTACGTCCTAGAATGTCAGGTCAGCACCATCACCAATGGTTAGAGAATGGACCTGCTTACAAACTAATTTCGTCTCAGTCACATCATACATCTCAGTCAACTTTTTTCAAGGGGGCAAGGTCCATACACTCTATCGCATCAAGCAAGTTAATTGACAGAGCGATAGTGTATTTGTTAGAAAGAGTTTTCCTACAAGCTTTGGTCCTGTCAGCTCAAAACTGGATCAATTGCGATTGGGCAGAATGCTATGACATACTTTCTTGATTTCCCATGTAATCAGTGCGTGTTGGAAGATCAGCCGCATTCGAAATATGCGAACATACCACCTGCCAAATTCCGCGATGTTAGTTCGCTGTTTCGCGCATCTAGTAGCGGAGGTCGTACATCCTAAGAGTCACCGTCGGTCAGCTAACATTACAATCGGCCTTCCATTATCAGAGTGGTTTACTTTCTAAAAACCTCTCCTTCAGCACTGTTGCATCAATAATCCAGGAAAGCGAGAGGGTCAATTCCGTACAAGCTATACTTTCATGTCAGTCAGGTCTAACAGTAGCTAAATGACAAGATGCCATACCACCTATGGACACGATCAGGGACTCCGGTGATCAGTCAGTAAGTCTTGGGAACTGATTTCGTACATCCTTTGAGTACACGTTAGTCATCGTAGAAGCCGACCCTCAAATGATACCAGAATCAGATCATACATGCTAGAAGTGCTGTTAGCATCGGACCAGAACTCATATAAGCAGTTGGCTACTTACAAACTAGATGCCTGTCAATAGGATCATCAAAGTATTCAGCGTCTTTAGAGATCATACACCCTGCAGGTCTAGGTTAGTCATGTCTCTGAATACGTATGTATGGTTGCCATGGCGGTCATAATGGCGCATGATGAACGTACAATCTGTGCAAGTCAAGATGTCAGCGGGAAGTTCTAGGGCCAATCTATTTAGTCTTGCCACTTACAGCCTTTATAAACACGTGAGCAGGTTTCCTCAGCAAGCCTATCATATATAGGAGTTACGTACAAGCTGCGAGTTACGTGAGTAGGAGTATGATAAGAAGAGTCATGTTTTACCCACCACCTGAGTTATTCCTGTTAGAGCTGACACATGTAGCAGCTGCTCAAAGAAGGGGATATGCCGCTCGTACATCCTGGAGGTTCGTTCAGATTAGTCAATGGTTTGTTTTGATTATCCATCGAGGACATAACGCACAACCTATCGGATGATCAGCAATTCAACCTCTCAAAAATGAGGAATATTCTAATTCAACGCACAAACTAGACAGATTCGGTCAGCTGGTGTCTAAGTCAACTGTCGAGAGACAAGATTTATACCGGCTTTAACCGGGTGCATTCTCGTTAGCCAAGTCTGTCGAGACTGTGCTTTTTGATAGTTTGATCCTTACATCCTAGGAGGGTTGTCAGTGTTCTTGAGGGTTCAGAACCATTCTGTTGGAGAAGGTAATTTTACTCACCACGTCGCGACGTTGTATGCTCTTGCCAGTACTGAATGGGAGAGGTGCACCGAAGGCGAGTCCAAGCGACAGGAGAAGCACGAATTGCATGTTTGGAGTTTAGTAAACGATGAATTAAAGCCGAGAGTGAGAATTGTAAAGAAAGACTAAAGTGAGGGGGCAAAATCATTTAGGATGTAACGTTTATGCAGGTCCTTGAGTAACTTATATTCAAGTTTCCCTATCTGTGCAGTGTTTTCGACCGCGAGGGGTATGCGCCTCGTGCCTGTCTGTTATGGTGAGCCTATTGGGGCCGCCGTAGCGGCATACTCTGAGAAACTTGGAAGCAAGCCAAGGCAGTACACCGTAGATTGTAGCCAATTTAGCAAGAAGTGGAACGGTTACCCGAGTGACAGGACTCAAATATGTCTGATATATTGGACTCGCGGGGAATGAGTGTATCATTCCTTAGGGCTTGAGTTTCCCCCTTTCAGCACCTCCCAAATGAACAAGTCCAGCCACAGTTTAGCTTCCATGATAAAAGCCAATTCAAATTAAAATTAAGCTAGCTACTTAAAAGTAGCTACGGACTGTGGTAAGCAAACGTATCTTGAGGCGAGCCCCACACTGCAATCCTCCGATTACTGCTATTACCGCTCGTCCTCCCTGCCTGCCAAAATACCGGCAAGACGAAGACAAGAAAAACCCTCACAGGAATGCAGCTTCCGCCTCGTCAAAGGCCTTGCTAATCTGCTCAATGGACGGAGCAGCCTTGCCCATCGTCTCCTGGGGAATCTGTTGATTTGCCTGCTCCTCAAACATCTTCTTCTCACTGTGCAAATCCTGCATGGACTTCCGGGCTCGCGGACCCACTCCAGCCTCATTGTAAAGAGGCGCCTGTAATCACTTAGAATCGGAGGATTTTGTACCAAACATGGAGTCCTACGTACCTTGTCCTTGGCCACAGTCAATGCATCAAGTAGAACAGGGGACATTTTGGTGTAAGCCTCGTAGTACTGGGCCGCTTCGTCAGGAGTAAAACCGTCGCTACCAGCGAGGTTCTTCCGAGCGGTTCTGGCAGCGAGCTTTGCGTTGTTGACGGCCCTGGCGGTGTCGAGGGCACCAACGACGCCTCCTTGGTAGTTCTGCAGCGAGTCCCTCGCGTCTCCAATTGCCCTGGCAAGGTTGTCCATGTCGGAGATGGCCTCCGCTATGTTGGTGGCTGCCAACGCGCAGGAAGCGCCGAGAGCAAGGTAGCCGGCAAGATTCTTCAGCAACATTTCGAAAGGAAATTGTGTCCGACCGAAAAGATAGTTCCGAGGGTTCTAGGTTATGACCTTTTTGTAGGTTGGAGTCTACCACTGCGAAGAAGGCACTCTTTATACTGCACTTGATCTTGATGGCATATGGATGTCCGGTGACGTCCAGCAAACTGAGCATTCCACTATGCGCAGATCTACATATTTTCCAAAGCCGGATGCTAGCTGATACTTATCCAAACCTGTTCCATTGCTCTGTTTTCTTCATTGATGCCTCTCAGCTTATGTCGTCCGAGGCCGGGCTCTAGACATGATATTCTAAATTTCTGTCATTTCAAATCTAGGTTGCCTTTCTGGCCCCGTTTTACTAGTATTTTTATTTGGGTCTAGTACCGTAGTTGCGGTCCGCCCCGGGACAACCCCCCGGGTCCCAGAAAAAGAGGTTTTTAAAATCAACTACTAGTAAACTATTTATAAATCTCAGGAATTACCTAATTATATACCTCCTAAGGCTATTTTCCAAGTTCTCGGTAAGCACCTAATAATTAATAGCTCCTAGGTATATATTATCTTAGAAGATCTATAATAGGATACATTTATCTTTTAGTACTGAATTAGCTTTCGCCTAAATAAATTCATCTTGCATAGGTTTACTGCTGGTCTACTACTACGAGGTTTTATATATTTGTGATGCCGTCCGTAGTTATGAAAGCGAGCCCCTAGCGGCGCGCATACTTCATATCCGTTCGTTACTCCTCCAACCTCCTATGCTTGTTTACATATTATCTGTTTACACCTAGCTTAAAGGAATGTACAATAGCATGCGGTGTAGATATGTGGCAGTAAGGGAGGCCCCTAGCTTAAGGAGAGGTCAGGTTGCAGCATTCCTCATGCTCCATGCAAGGAGACCTATGAAGATCTGTCAGGAGACCCGCAGACCGATCAGCTACTAGAATCCGACGGCTTTCAACGGCCAGATGACCAGATCATGCAAAGGAGATGCCAGGGTCAATGACAAAAGAGCATCCCTGTGATCAGTTCCCACAATCATTTTCTTCAATTCTCTGCTCTTGTTTGTCAGATCCGAGGTTACACTTTGAAGGAGAATTTCTGAGGGACCGCTGTGATTGCTGACTACAGACTCATTGTTACACATATTGACGGTAAATGTCAAATTTGACATTCGAATAATCGCAAGTGAAGAGAAACAGGACCCGGGGAACAGAAGCAGATTGAGTTGACATATTCTCAGAATAAGCACGCTCATACCATGGCATCGTCCACTGCAGAAGCCGCTTCCGTCAAGGCAGGCGCTCCCCCACCGATTGCGATTGTCGGAATGGGGATGCGCCTGCCCGGCGGGGTACGCACTGCAGATGACTTCTGGGATGTTCTCATCGACCAGAAGGATTGCTCCTCCGAAGTCCCCAAAACTCGGTATAATATCGATGCATTCTACGACCCGGATAAGCCTCAGTCCGTGAGAACGAGGCGGGGATATTTCCTCGAGGAGGACTACTTGGAGAAGGCCGACACAAATTTCCTTCAATTGATTCCGGGATTTAACACGAGCGAACTAGATCCTCAGCAGAGGTTGTTGATGGAAGTTATCTGGGAGTGTATGGAAAACGCGGGACAGACCGGGTGGCGCGGCAAGGACATTGGATGCTACGTCGGTGTATTTGGGGAGGACTGGCACGAATTGACTGCAAAGGAGTCACAGGTGATCCCTCGTACTCATGTCTTCGCCAACGGAGGGTTTGCACTGGCAAATCGGGTTTCATTTGAGTTCGACCTAAAGGGACCAAGGTAAATTCCGTCCCGCCGCCCCGTTGAAGAAAAGCCCTCGGCGCAGTACCTCGCTAAATGAAAGTGTAGCCTCACCATAGCGACAGCTTGCTCTTCCTCTTTAAGCGCTCTCCATGTAGCCTGCCAGGCACTTCAAACGGGCAGCTGCTCATCCGCCATTGTGGCCGGAACCAACATGCTTCTCACCCCTTCCATGAGCGTGACATTGTCCGAGAACATGGTCCTCTCGCCTGATGGGTTGTGCAAGGCATTTGACGCGAACGCGAATGGTTATGGGCGCGGCGAAGCTGTAAATGCTGTCTATATTAAGACCCTGGACAAGGCAATAGCAGACGGCGATCCTATCCGCGCCATTATCCGCGCCACGTCGGCCAACTATGACGGCAGAACTGCAAAGATTTTCGCGCCAGATATTGCCGGTCAAGAGCGGCTTATTAGAAAGGCCTACGAGCGAGCACAGATTGACAACATCGCAGAAACGGCTTTTGTGGAGTGCCATGGTACCGGCACCAGAGTGGGAGACATGGTCGAGGCTACGGCAATTGCTCAGGCTTTTCATCCGCATGGGGTTCATATTGGATCGGTTAGCACAAAGCCGTGTTTTGATGCCGTCCCGGGGATTCCACTTACCCGATCTAGGTGAAAACAAACTTTGGTCATGGCGAGGGTGCCTCTGGCCTTACCGCCGTTATTAAGGCTGTTCTGGCTCTGGAGCATCGGATGATTCCCCCAAATATGCATTTCCGACAACCGAGCCCTTACAGTAAGAGCCAGCCGTTTTTCTGTTGTGTCAGGTTTTTCGAGTGCTAACGGATCCTACAGTCCCCTTCCAGGAAGCGCGACTCAAAGTTCCAGTCGAGCCCACCCCGTGGCCCGAGAACCGAAAGGAACGAGTCAGTGTCAACGGCTTCGGTGTAGGCGGAGCTAATGCTCATGTAAGTCACGAACAGACTCATGTGCAGACGAACAAACATGAAGCAGCAGCACCCTACTAACCTCCCGTTGAAGGCTATCCTAGAATCCGCATCAAGCATCGTAACTGTGGAACCCAAACAGGAGCCAAGGCGAGGTCTCTCTCCTCGACTTCTGGTCTGCTCCGCTCATAGCAAGACAGCCTTGGATGCCCGAATGGATGCAGTTAGATCTTACTTGGCTCTTAGACCGCAGGCTCTGGCCGACGTCGCATATACACTTGGGGTTCGTCGTGATCACTTGTCTCATCGGTCGTTTACTATTGTCAACAGTGACGGCGAGATCCTTGGTGGGGAAGTCCAATCATGCCATCTTTCCGACACATCGCTACCCCTTTCACTTATATTCGCCTTCAATGGGCAGGGTGCTCAGTGGGCTGGAATGGGGGTGGAGCTCATTCGAACATTCCGCAGCTTTCAGCGAGATATACAACTCATGGACCAGATCCTGCAACAGCTACGGCCTCCTCCGGCATGGAGTATAGAAGGTATGGTCGTCGTCGCAATCACTCTTATTCCCATACTCCCATCAATTTATATGGAGTTAAAAGTATCCAAAGCTAAGCATAACAGACCAGCTACGAAAGCCACCAGGGCTCAGTCAAATCGACATTCCGGAGATTTCCCAGACACTCTCCGCTGCCATTCAAATTTCCTTGGTCAACCTTCTCAAGGACTGGGGAATCTCTCCGTCAGCCGTTGTAGGTCACTCTAGCGGCGAGGTGATTGCGGCGTATGCGGCGAACGCCATCCCACTTCGTACGGCTATCGTCCTAGCATACCTACGTGGACAATGCGTGTCCAACGCTCCTTCCTCAGGTGGCATGGTAGCCGTTGGGATGGATGAAGCGTCCGTCAAGCCCTATCTTTCTGAAGGGGTGGTTGTCGCATGCGAGAATAGTCTCCAGAGCGTTAACCTATCCGGGGATAAGACAAGGTTGGCGTCAGTGGTTGACAGGATCAAGGCCGACAAGCCAGATACATTTATACGATATGTTCCAGTACCTGTGGCGTATCATTCGCGTGAGCCTAACATTTCTTTTCACCTTGTGTTACCTCGCAATGGCTAATG